AACACTGTTCTAGCCCCATGAAACAGCCTGCCACCCGATATTCAATTTCCTCTCCCTGCCTTCAGAAAAATGATGAAGACTGTATTTTTTTCATTGCACCTTTGGAGTCCAAAGTTTCTGCTGCCCTTTTTAAGTTTTTAATTTAATTTTAAGTATTCAAACCATGTTTCCCGATTTGTGCCTTGTTTTATTGTTTCATACTGTTGTAAGCCACCTAGAGTTTTTTGAGTTGGCAAACACTCTAGGTGGCTTAGGAATGAAACAGACTTTCCCCAAGAGACTTTTTTCTTTTCTCTTCTTTACGGTTTCCCCAATGTATGCATTTTAATGCAATTTTTGAGCTGAGTGCTATTTCAGGACAGACCTCAGTGGATTCTGTGAATGATCGCAGAAGATTCCATTTTGGCAGATCATACCATTTTGCAGTTTCTTCCCCATCCTTCTCTGCCTGCTTGCTTGCTTGCTTGTTTGGTGAGAGATAGCACATGTAGAGCAAATTCAAGGAGGAGGAGAAGCAGCAGCTGTTGCTATAGCAGGGCCAAGAAGTCCTGAGATTGGCAGGGGGCCCGTTGTGAAGCAGGAGCTTTGGCAGGTGCTCAACAATGCCAGTCTTGACACCATCCAGCTCAAGAAAAAAGTCTGGTAAAAACCACTGCTCCAGCTTCCCAACAAGTATATACTATCACAAAGTACATGCTAGTTTTTAAAATAGTCTGTATTTTGGCAATCACCTCAGACTAAGAAACAATTTCCTTTTATAGCCTGAAGCACTGAGTTGCTCAATGACCATCAAAAGTCCACCTTCTAAATTAATAGAGCAAAATGACAGGAATAACCAGACAATTATTCCTCATCTACAACATTCAGATTGGCCACTGAATTCACATGTAGCGAAAAACAGAAGGTGCGGTTGAGAGGGGGTTATTATTTACCTATAAATAAAAATGCCCTCTTGGCCATAGCTCATAAGAAGAGAAGCAATAGGATGCAAATAAACCAACAAGAAACATGTAACAAAACTGTTCTCACTTGTTGGGATGAAGCATAGCCACCTCCTGAAAGCAGCAAGCACCAGTCAAAGGCACCTCCAACAGTTTACTCCAAATCACTCCAAAGTCAGTGATTAATACAACTAAGAAGAATAGAATAGAATAGAATAGAATAGAATAGAATAGAATAGAATAGAATAGAATAGAATAGAATAGAATAGAATAGAATAGAATAGGATTGAGCCAGACTCATATCATACAAATAGCCTACATCTGTTTAAAGCTTCACAAATCAATGGATCACAAAATATATAGCTGATCTACTCCATGGGTAAAGGTTCCACGCACAAGGTCTCTCTTACAAGTTGCCTTCCAATGAGATTGATTTCTGGGATTTGCCAACCCAACATATCTGGAGGGTATCAAGTTGGAGAAGACTGCTAAGACTGCAGGATGTAATAAATGCTAATTGTCTAAAATTAGGATTTCATTTCCCATCTCCGAAATTCATTTTTCTCCAAGTTAAAAAAGATGCAATGTCATCTGCCAACAAATACATAATAATATTAACGTTCTCATAAAGAATTTAGGTACATTTTTATACAGCTTTTCATCGTATCAGATTTCAAAGGATAAAACAATTACAAAAATAGCAGAGAAGACTTCAAAACAGGGGAAACTTAATTAATTCAGTAAAATATGTTAAAATGTGTCGGTATATAAAAATGTTTTCTCTTGGCATGGAAAAAGTTGGCACCAGGCTAAGTTCTTTAGGGAGAGCCTTGCGTAATGGGAATGTAACTGCTGAGAAAGGCCCATCTTTGTAGATTATCTTTGTATTTCTGACAGAACAAAACAGGAAGAAAAAGGCTCAGCAGATTATTTTAAAGAACTGCCTTGGACAGATACAACAAAGAAAAGTGTATTACCTACCTTTCATCTAAACAGACATAGAAGTCAGCATGCCTTCAAATGAAAGGTCCTAGGCCTTGTATTATTAAGGATTAAAAATGCATTTACATGCATGCTCCAATACACAAATGGGGAGCTATATTCAGAACCTGGCTTGCATGCAGACTATCTCTGCAGACTCAGCAGGGGACATGGGGCATATTAGACATACATCTGTATGACAACACATCTCTAGATGAAGCACGAATCATTCAGCACGTTTCCTGTCCAAATTATACAGCTTGGATAGAGATAAAATTCCCAACTGTCTTTCAACAGAAGTGAGAATCCAAATTCATTGCCTATGGCCTCTAGTCACATCAATGCTCCATTCTGTGTAATTACCTCTGGACTAGGGCCCAAATCTAGGATTGTCCAAGAGCTTTAAAATCAACCAAAATTTAATTCACTTGTGTCAATACATAGGGATCAGATAGCAGGTGTTAAGTAGGACCTCAGATGCTTGTCATACTGGGCTAGATGAACAAATAACTATTCCTGAAAGTGATTGGGATATCATTGAATTTGTATATAGTTGAATTTGCCAAGAAAGAAAGGAGAATTTGGATTATTGATCTAATATTTCTTCTTTTCAAATACAGAATGAATTGGCTAAGGAAGCTGTGGATGCTCTATATAGCCTCTATAATACAAACTATGTATATGGAGCAATTGCAACCACAATTTGTAAGTATTAGTCTTAGCAAAACTGTGCTTCAAAATTCTTTAGATGCTTTTTACAGTGAGAAGTCTGCAAATCTGCTTTGACATGTTGGGATATTATATTCTGTAACTTATAAATACGTAAGGGAGAATGCTACTAAGTCATTGTAGGATGGTGCAAACATCATTCATCTTGGGCAGAAGAGGATTTATGGCTCAAACATCCCCAGTGTGAACGTGGAAATTTCTGCCACCAGATCTGAACCATGCCTCATACTCAACAAGTGGAGAGAGGCTGGAGTTATGCTGGGAACATACAGAATCCTAGACCTCCCCATTCCTCTAATCTGACCCCAACATTTCTTTGACAGATTTCAAAGTAAAAAAAACACTTTTTTATTTCTTTTTTTTTTTAAAAGCTCAAACTCCACAAGTACCTCACAGTCAGGGTCTTTTTTAGATTCTGAGACTTCTGGAGACAAGAAGATCATTTGAGCTTCCCCTCTGCACATATGCTTTCTTCTCACATAAGCTTTTACTTTAACTACTATGGGGGTCTTTTTCTTCATTTTTTTTTTGTTTTTTGTTTCCTGAAATTCATTTGTTTTGTTTTGTCTTCAAGTCAGTGTTGACTCTTAGCAACTGCCTGGACTAGTCTCTGCAGTTTTCTTGGCAAGCTTTTTTGGAAGTGATTGCCATTGCCTTCTTCTGAGAATGACTTGCCTAAGGTCACCCAGCTGGCTTTGCCCCTAAGATGGGACTAGAACTCACACTCTCCTGGTTTCTAACCTGGTGCCTTAACCACTACACCAGACTGGCTCTCTCCTGAAGATAGTGTTACTGAGTTAACTGTTGGGATTGTATTTTGGCTTAACAGCTTTATTGCCTTGAATGAAGCATTTCAGTCCATCTGATGATTTCAAATATTCAGATAGAGCATGGAAAAGGCTCCTCCATGTATACAACTTACAGAAATATCTCTTCATCTAAAAATATCTTTATCCCTGCCTGACGCTGTAGCTCTAGGAAACTAATATATAGTGGAGGTTCTGCTGTGGATTCCTCCACCCATTCAGTAAATAAGACTGTTCTCTCCAGGACTTGTCTGAGAAACCATCTCTTCTGCTAACTACCCAGTCATTTAGATCAGCCCTGGAGGCTCTTCTGAAGTTACCTTGCTACCTGTCATAACCTCTGCTATCTAATACATGGAAATAGACCTTCTCTTGTGTGGGCCCAAAGTATGGAATGCACCCCCCATATCTGTACTGTATGCATAGAGAGAATTTGGACCCCACTCCCCCAGGATTTAGGAAAATTGTGAAAAGGCCCAAGCTGTTAAGGGGTGATTAAATTTAATGATAGTGATTCATTTTGCTTTGACTTTAAGTAATTTGTTTATATTCTAAAGTTTTATTATTTGTATTTTTAATTACCATAAGCTACCCTGAGTACTGTCTAAGTGCAAGTTCACTTTTCTTTTGTTTGTTTATGCTCCAAACAGATCTCTTTTTTTAAAAAAAGAGTGAAATACAAAAAACTACATTAACAGAAAAAAAGCTATGCAGTTGTTTTTTTTAAAAAAAACCTAGCTATATTATGGTGATTAAAATATATTAAATGTGACAAAAAAGGAAAAAAATAATTAACAGAAAAGACAAAGTAAAAATACATATAATATCCATTTGTAGCGATATATAAATAATTCAATCCTTATCATTAAATCTACACATAGAAGCATATTTCTTCATCTTTGTATTTTAGCATGCAGAGATTTTTCAAAGTAGATAATAGACTCCTATCCTAGATCCATTCCTTAAAATCAAGAGGGTAAATTTACATTAAAAAATATTCTCTTTGCTGTACCCCAGGCTCAATAGAGGCAAATATTTTTATAAGATGACAAATTCCATGTTTTATGAACGTAGTTCAATATCAGATTAAGGTCCTTAAGTGTAATATTTCTTCACAAAATTGTATTGATATGGATAGTGATTTAAAACCAAAATGAGGCCACAGCTGGACAAGACAAGATTATATGAATTAAAGAGTCTTCAAATTTCTTACAATGCCAACACAAAAAAATCTAAAATTTTAAAAAAAATCTTTTTCAGTGTCCTTTGAGGGAGCAATAAAAACACAATATTTTCTGATGAATTTATTTCATTTTTAATCATAAAAATATATTTTATATTTCTTAACCACTTTGACCTATTGATTCTCCAAAATCAATCAGCATTAAATAAAACTGTGAATTTCATTTTACTTTTTAATTCCTTATAAAATTAGTTTGTTGCTTTCCATTCAAGCAGTTCATCTCTTACAGATCTTAAAATTGCAGGAAATGAAGTTTAATTTAAAGCCTATCATTACAAACTTCTTGGTTTCTCATCCCTCAGATATTTTTTCTTGAGCAAGCTTTGCCGAACTCTGTCCACTTCTGCCTTGAAGTGAAAAACAGTGACATTTGTACTATTTTCCTTTTGCTCTCTATGATTGTAGCAAAATCTGATTGTGTACTTTCATATCAGCCTTTCAGCTAACTGTTAAATTACCCTTTTCTCACTGCAACTGATTATTTGAACTTCCAGCTGTCCGATGTAATCTTTACAAAGAAATACCACATCATATGACATTGTAGCACAATAAATTCCCATGTCTAACACCAAATGTCATTAATGTGCAGCAGTTTCTTATGTAATGTTTCCTCCACTGGAGGAAGAAACTCAACAAGAAGATAGTAGGCTGGCCATGCCACCAGCTTTCCCACTGGCCAAACATTTGCAACATATGTTAAAACCAACCCATGATATTTTTTTTCTATCTAATTCTGTTTATCTGTAGATCTCAACTGTTTTCAGCAAGCTCTCTTTTATATTTGCATGTCTGGAGCTTGCAGGGCACTCCTTCAGTCAATCAATGCTCAGCGTGAGCTAACCATTAGCTGAGCAAAGAGAATGCTAGTGCTCACTTTTTCTGTTTCAAGCCAGCCAATGACTGGGTATTCTACCCACAGAGTTTTCAGCGTCCTATGAGTTAACTAACATCCTTTCATGACAAGAGAAGCAAATGTATAGTCTCCAGCCCATACAGTACACACAGCTAAATATTTATTTGTCCATGTGCATTTGTTTACATTTGTCAGGCAGTTTGTAAAGCATTCTTCCCCATAGTTTCTAGAGAGATCATTTTCTAAAACTATTAACAAACGTGCAGAAAAATCTCAAAAGTTTTCTGTTCACTCTGGCACCAGATTTGCATAACAGGTTTTGTTTTGTTTTGTTTTGTTCTATGGGGTTTTGCTGGGGGGAGGTTCCTTCAAGTGATTGTTGACTCCTAGTGACTGCCTGGATGAGTCCCTGCAGTTTTCTTGGCAAGATTTCAGAAGTGGTTTGCCATTGCCTCCTTCCCAGGACTGAGAGAGAGTAACTGGCCCAAGGTCACCCAGCTGGCCCTGTGCCTAAGGCAGGACTAGAACTCCCGGTCTCCTGGTTTTTAGCCTGATGCCTTAACCACTACACTAAACTGGCTTTCACTACAGAATGAATCCCAATAAAAAGATCTAGAAAGCCTTGAGGATAGTAGTATCCTAACCAAACCACATAGCAGCAAACCCTGTGAGACCAGCATGCCAGTAGAATTGCATCTGAAGGCTTTTCTGCAGCAAGGATCACAATGGAATGTAATTAGGATAAAGACTCACTCAGACTGAACTTGATTCCTAGACCATACATTGACACATCTACATAGTTTTCTTGTAAAAGAAAATGTAGAAATACTTTGCCATAGTCTTCTGAGATTTTTTTTAAACTAGTCTATATAGCCCTCTAATTTCTGATGGCCTCTCATCTAAATACTAGCCAGAACTGACCCCACTTAGCTTTTAACCTGGAGTAACTGAAATGCTAATTAGAAGCTGGGAGGTAGGAGGCATGGTAAGCAGTCTCTTCAGTGGACAAACAGACATGCCACGCAGCACATAGATTATGGGTTTCGTCACTTTCAGAAGCAATTAAGAAAACATTCAAATAGGTTTTCCAAGAGTGACAAAGACCTGGAGAAATTTTTCAGAAATTTGTCTCCTATCAATGCTTGTTCATAGACAGCCCCGTGTAAATGCCAGTGCATAGGCTGCTCAAGAGATGGCCAGAAATCACTATCTGGATTGTTTGTTTCTTTACTCATTTATTTAATTAATTAATTTAATTCAATTTAAGTGCCACCCAACTCCAAACCAACTCTGGGAAAGGTGACGTCCAGAGATGAATAAGACCTTACTCCTGTGAGGATAAATTCCTAGAGTTCTAAATTTTACAAGAACCTATAGCTAAATATCAGAAGAGCCATAATCCTACAAAATACAGGCTTACTCTTTTGTTCATATGAAAATGTATTACCATTTCAATTAATCAAACAGGTTATATCAGGTTAGACTTAACAGACCAAAAGTGTTAAATCAGATGAAGATGTTGTCTTAAAGATGTAGGTAATGATTAAGTGTACCTTTCATTTTTTTTACTCCATTATATATACAGGAGTCCCAATCTTGACTGGCATTTAGCAAGGAATATGTATGACTTTTGCTTCAGAATGCAAGCAGCTAATTTAAGCATGATTTTGGAAAGTACCAATAAAGACACAGGTAGTAGGGTGCCCTAAAACAGCAATACCTATGTTATGTGCCTATACTAGTCCTCCTTCTGTTTTATTTGAACCAATAGAGGTAACTCTGTCTATTTTTCAGCCTAATTTCACATAGCCATTTCCTATTTCACCATTCCTCTTGTGTCCCATTGTTTTTAACATTGTCTGCTTTTCAGACCCTTGTTCCGGAACTTCCGTAGACTGGGCTTACGATGAAGGCATAAAATATTCATTCGTCTTTGAGCTTCGTGACCGTGGCCAATACAATTTCCTCCTGCCTGAAAGTCAGATAAAACCTACCTGTAAGGAAACCATGCTGGCAATCAAAGTAATTGCCAATCACATTGTCAGCACTGTTCAATGAAGACTTGCTCAGACTTACTTACAAAAGAAATTCTCTCTTCCTTGGCTGCCATTTTCTCCTTGGGCTCTGAAATTGGCTCGATTCTACCTGTAATTATAGGTTACCTTTTCTGATTTTTCTATTCCACTGATATTTTGTTGTCTTTTCCTTTTGATGGTTTTCAATAATAATTAAACTTTGAAAATGCAGTTTTTAATATTTTAGGGACAAATTTCCTGCTAGATTCATTTTATTCAAGCATATGGAAGACATTTGCTGAGCAATCTTGAACTCACCTCTTAGTGAATTTCTGGATTTGCCCCTTAATTAAGGTATCTCTGATTTTCTGGCCTGGCCTGCTCATCTAGCACATAGCCTTTTACATCTCTGGGCACACAAACTCTGAACCATGTCAGACCTACTTTGCTTTGATGTTATTTCATGTGGCTGAAATATACATATAGAAATATCATAAACACAGAAATACAATTCATCTTTCTCACCCCATCCACCAGTCCCTTAGCAAACCTTCCTTGCAAGTAGAGTGTCAGTCAGATGAAGATCAAAAGTAGCACACTTAGATCATAGTTCAATGGAAGGTTATGAAGAAAGGAGGACTCAGTTCCCGACAGCTTGATATGTGTGGGTGTGGCCTTATGATCCTTTCCTAAAATATCTGAAATTAGCTTCTATATAGCTGTCCCCAAATCACCTTTGCTGCTGAGTTCTTTCTGACATTGGGAACAAGTCTTGCCACTATCAATCAGAAGGCATTGTAAGGCTATTCCATCTTTTCCTCCTGAACCATTTGTTTTGTGTTAAGAAAAAAGATGGGAAAACATGTGAGAGTTACAAAGGGAAGACAATGATGTTTGGACTCTCCCCCTCAATACAATTCTGGGAATGAGGCAAGATAATTGCACAATAAAAGGATTGTTTCAAAGCATCTAATATTGCAATTTAGTAATTCAGTATTAATGGGTTCATTGCATCCTCATGTTCAGTTCACCACTTAATGTGCCACCATTCATCCACTTTGCAACAGCTAATCTACATTTCATATACAATCTAGCAAAACAGCTACCTAAATTAGATCCAATTTGTTGTTAAAGGGAGGGATAAAATTCATTTTGGCTCTGATAAACGAACCTATGGTCTTATTTTAACTAAAGTAGCAAAAGGAAATTTGAATGAATGCATATTTTATTCTCTATCTGCCTGATTATGGTTATTCCTTCCTTTTACAAAAACTTGCTTAGCAGTAGTTGTTTTGCCAATTGTCAAGGCAGTGATCAGGTGCCCAGGCAATTGGTGCTTTTAGTTCTTTTAGACCCAGAGACAATGGGTAAGGAGACCCCGAGACCCAGTAGGTAAGGAGATTTTAGGTTTTATTGTCAGCTCTACCAAACAGGTTTAAACAGGAATACATAAGCATAATATAAAAGCATAACATACCAAGCAAAATGATAACACTCTTCCCCTACTGTCGGGAGCTACCATAAGGCAGCAGTGGAGAGACCCCAAGATGGCTTAGATCAGTGTTCCTCGACTTTGGCTGCTTTAAGCTGTGTGGACTTCAACTCCCAGAAGTCCATACAACTTAAAGCAGCCAAGGTTGAGAAATGCTGGCTTAAATAACAGAGTGCCTAGTCCCAAGGGCTGTGTCCACACTCCAAATTCCAGGGGCAATACCAGGGCTTTTTAATCGAAGTCTGGCACTGCAATCCCATGACTCTGTTTTGGAGTCAGGGGCTTTGAAAGTGACCTTGACCAGATGTTATACCATCTCATCAAAAGATTCCAGAGCCTGGGAACTGTATAGATAAGCTAGTGCTTAACCTAAACAATTCTGAGGGTTTTCCTCCCCCATCCACCACTTTTAAGTAAAAGTGAGCTTTCTTAATATGTGCAGGAGGAATCAAACTATGTCACCTAAACTGGTCAAAATAGCAATGGTCTTCTGCATTGCTACTACAGTAGTTCTCTTGATAAATCCTGTGCATCAAGCCGTATACTTTTTCTGAAAAATATATTCCTAAATCAAAGTGCTATTATACCTTGTTCTGCTGCATGGAAATTTCAACCATGATTGAAATATAACCTTAACATCCTTCATACTCATCAGGACAATGTTTTTATTTGGCCAACTAAGTCACCAAACATTGTGCAAGTTTAGTAACTCTTCATCAGCCAACAGGGGACATTTTACATTTTTTAAAAACCATCAGTGAAATTGACCAGAGTTCTGCCATTTTCCCTTTCAAGCCCAAATGACAGGAAGGTAAAGTTGAGGTGAGTGTTTGTTTGTTTGTCTGATTACCAGTGAATTGGTGATGTACAGTATGGGTGGTGTCAAATACGAGGGGAAGTCAACAGACAGAGGCTCATATAAAACATCTATCAGTGGCACATCCAGACAGAGCACCTGGCCAAAACTGAAGAAAAGATTGAAATCTGGGAAGCACATTTTTAAGATGTCTTCATTTACAGACAGTTTCAGCATGGGAGACAAGCAGTTTACTGTATGGCTGTCTTATACGCATAGTGAGATGGTCACCTCAGGAACAAATGTGGAGTGATACAAAGCAGTAGCAAGATGCTGAAAAGAATCTATCTTCTAAATTATCTGCTAAGCACATTATTAAGCATAGCAGAAGATGTTTTCCCAATTTCAGTATTGAAATAAGCTTCAATCACCAGCCATGCAGAATCTTCTTGGAGGGCACTCTTTTACTTTGCCCATTTCAGCAAAATATCATGGTCCAGCCATATAATTTAATGCACTAAGGTGTTCATTTTGTGATATTCTGCAAAGTATCTGACCACATTGTTTCTGATCAATTAGCAACCGTGGTGGAATTTCTGTCAGAATGAGAGAGATTACAGGTTTATCAAATAGATACCTATTCCGCTAGAGTCAGCCAGCTACTGGGAAGATGAGAGATGGAGCTCCCTAAAGAATGTTGGGAAAGCATTCTTCAGTTACTATGACACACAGATATACAAGCACTAATTTAAAGGAAAATGGCCTTTAGACATTCTTCCTGTACAGATATACCACAATCCGAATCATTCTGAAGGGGTACAGTTAATTTCCAACTTGAATTTCATACCTTTTGATTGGGATGGGGATAATTGAGTACATAGTAGAGAATTCCTCACATTCTGACCTTGTCTTCTTGAGAAATCATGTCTACTGCGTAGCCTCTGAAGATATTTAGGAGAAACAGGAAAAGAACTAGAGGGTACCTGCTCAAATTTATACAAAGGGTTCAACTGCACATATTTAATTGAAAAGGTGAAAACATCTGAAGGGAAGCAGTAGCATCTGGAGAGAGAAAAAATCAGGACAGATAGATATTTAAATGTTTCCAACTGTATCAGCACAATCCTTATAGGGCCCTTTCAGCCATCATCTCATGCAACAACTGTGGTCAAGGTTAATCCCCTCACCTATTTTAGCTAAGAGATGGGTGTCTTTAGAGAAGAATCGGTGCTTGTTTGATTTTAATTAGTTGGATTAGTCATTTCTTGAAAAAGATAATCTAATATGAGGTGGCTAAGTGTTTTTAGACAAAAGCTGATTACCAGCACTTGTTTTATTCAGGCCTGTTTTAATACAGAAACACACTTAGCTGCTCAGAGGGATAACCTATGCTAGGATTTATTTTATTTAGTTATTTAGTTATTTATCAAATTTGTCACCACCCATCTCATTAAAAAGCAACTGCCATTTCTCACCAAAGGCTCAGTTAGTATCTGTGCCAACTTTGATCAGTTTATACATCTGCAGCTGCTTCAGCATAGGTATTGCCTGATCACAGTTATCTGAGAAGTAGAAACATCTAGAATGGCTGTGGTTACACATGGAGAAGATACTGAAGATACCACTAAATCAAAATGCTGTCAGACTGGCCTGGTTTCCCAGAACATTTATGCACAGTATTAAAATAATTTAACTGGTTCTGGCCATCCCAAGTACGAGAGAGAGTACAGGTGATCCTTTTTAAAGCAGTATGTGACTTAAAATCCAAGAACAGAAATAATAGCTGTCATGTCACCCTGTCTTCAGCTCCTCTGGCCATTTGAGGTAAAGCAAATTGTAAAAACACTGGAGAGCATTCCATTTATGGAATTCCTGGTACCATCAGCATTACCTTTTCAACACTAGGCAATGGTTTTTTTTAGGAGCCACCCAGGCTTTTTAATGGAGGTTAATGCATTTATTATCCTGTTTGGAAAATGTAGTTTACATTTTATTTGCATTTTTATTTTCTCTTGGCTTGGAAAACCATCCTGGAAATGCTGCAAAATGGAATATGGAAATAAAAATGAAAAATTATTTAAAAATGGAAAATAAGGATATTTAAATGATTTTATGTAATTGTTAGCAGGAGCACTTAAAAGCTATAGAGGACTCTTCCTGGCATAAGTGGGAATTTCTTCCCAAAGCAAAGAGCAGTTTGAAAGGGATTGATTTCATTATAACCCTACCAGGAAAACAAAAGACCAAGCCTCACTCCACTTCTTGAGATCCCAGTAGCTGTCAAACATACTGTTACTGCTATTTATATTCATATAAATGTATATTAACTGCAAGGGACACTTAATGTTTTATCTGGTTTCTTCCCTGGTTATGCACTTGGAATTGCCCTAGGAAGACTCTGGCTTCTCCGCATCCTTCAACACATGCAAAAAAGCACATCAACTTTTTTTGAAACTTGTGCCCCATGGATATTTTGAAGTACCACTCCCAGCATCCCTGATTACTGATCTTATTGGCTAAGGCTAGTGGGAACTGTCATCCAAAACATCTGAACTTCTCTTTTATTTGTTTGTTTGTTTAAAAGTTCATCCAGTTCTCATCATTAAAAACAACCCCAAAGCAAAAAAAAGCAATTAAAAACTGTTTCCAGTGCATTGAAAACCATTAAAACAAGAGCAATTCAGTAAAAGCCTGTAAAAGTAGCTGCTTAAAGTTATAAACAGTTTAAAAACTATAAAAGAGAACAGGACTACACTGAATCAGGTCAAAAGGCACAGCAGGTGCTTAGTCAAAAGACAACTCTTTCTGTATCCAGTTCCTATACGCTGAGTAAGAAGTCATGACTAAAGGCATCCTGAAGTTGAGAAGTCTTTACTATGAGTTAGGGGTATCAGAAACTGCCCAGCAAATAAATATGTCAGTTCAAAAATATGTGGATAAGGGCTGATAACCAGTTAAAAATAAAATATATCTTTAAAAACTCTAACTCAGTCTGCTTGTATATGATAAAAAAATACTTGATTGCACAATGCTGATCCTAAACATATATAAAATAAAAATAGTACCATGAGGTCATGTTCCTTCCCAAGGCTGGTTTACCCAGGAGAATTAAATTCTTCCTGGTTTGTATTCTGAATAACTGCAGTCAAGAGGCAAGAAACCTAGATGGGAGAAGGGAATTAAGGTGAAGGAGAAATTAAGGTGAAGGAGAGTTATCCTAAAAAGCAAGGAACAGGCAGGGAAATAGAAGTCTAGCAGTTTACAACTCTAACTTCATTTAACTATACTCCCAAGAGACCAAATTAAAGCTCTATTTTCTTGAATTCACTTAGAAGGAAGAAAAATCAGCAAATAGGTTTTTTTAGAAAAAACATTCTCTCTCTCTCTCTCGATGTCACTCCCAATTAAGCATGGGCTATTTTCCCCAAAAGACAGATTCTGACAAAATTTTCCCTGTATTCTAAACTGGAAGTCAAACCATGGATTATACAGTCCACTGTTTATCTTATAAAAGCCTGCATAATCGGCATTGACCCATGGCACCTCATGAGCTATACTCTATTTGGTTGGCCAATTATGATGTGTCCCAGTTATCTCCTTTAACGTAAAGGTTATCTATAATTTTAGCATATTTTAACCTGAAACATATGTGTTCTTCGGGCACTTATCTCAGCTGCAATGTAGTCCAGAAGTATGATGAAGCAGCCTGTTTTACTCTGAACAAGGAACCCTCCAATGACCTGCAGCCTCGTTAATTTCCCACGTTTCCATTAAACCCAAATAGATCTCTTACTCTTTCTCAGCCCAACCTACCTCACAAGAGTTGTTGTTGTGAGGAAACTCAGGTGGAAAGAGTGCTATATATGATATCTTGAGCTCCTGGGCTAATGCAAGATATAAATCTAAGAAATAAAATTTGGTTGGGTGTGGAGGGAGTTCAGATCAGGGATGGGACAGCCATAGGGTCTGCAGAAAGATGGAGAGATGTGAAAGTACAACAGTACTTACCATTGCTTTATAATAACAAAGTAAGGGCAAAAATATAATCAAATGAGGCCTTAAATAAATTCAAAAGCACCTGAGAATGAGACAAAAAGTCTTCCCCAAACTGTGATGTCCTATAGATGCATTGGGGCTACCTACATGAGAATTTTCAGAGTTGCACTCTCAATATACACAAGTACAAATGCATTCTGTGTCCATGGGAATGTTTTCTCACTGATGATACGCATCATTGTGAGAGCCATTTTCCCAACTTTTTAAAGGTGGTAATAAGTATTACAAAAGATTCCAATACCCATGATAAAATTGCTTGAAATCTAAATGTAGATACAACAACAGAACCTCACATCATCCAATGAATGCCTCTGTGGATACTATCTGATCAACAAGCAGAAGAGTAAAAATGTCAGAGATGAACAACAGCAAAGAGAAAGGACCATGATGTCCCTGTTGGCTCTGGGCTTGATGACCATTACGTGTTTTTTCACTTCTGCTCTGCGTTTTGACAGGTACAGCCTTTTACATCATTAAAGGGTTTTGTGGGTTTTTGGCTTGTTTGCTTCCATGCCTTAGTATGGTACTCAAACTTTGACTTTCTGTTCTAAAGTGCAAAGGTGTTTCGTGTGAAACCTCAAAATGAAAACCAAGTAAGCTTCATGAAATCCTTGGCAAGCCTTATACAGGTGAGAAAAATTTGCAGCTCAGATGCTTTGTGCCCCTTTATCTTAAGGAATTTTGTAAAAAGCATACTTATTCAAAAATATATTAATGTTTTCCACTTACTAAAGCATTATGTATGTGTGTGTGTGTGCATACAGAAACCTCTATATATACATACAGTACAGATTATTTGCCTAATGGAAGAGAATGAATTGTTTTGGACGCTTCCAATTTTTTTTTATATTCAAAGGATTGTTAAAATGCCAGCATATATCCACAATAGAAGTTTAATTAAAGCAGGAATGGCTCCCTTATACACAATATATCACAGAGCAAGGCAGATTTAGACATCTGGAATATGGTTTTTAGGACTCAAAGAGAAACTAACAACAATTACTAATGTTTAACACACAGTTTAAATATCTAAACTGTGGTTAGTGGTTGGGGATACAAATGGAAGGGAGGATATATCAATAAAAAGTTTTTTTTCTTTTTTCAGTATGTTTTTTATTCAAATGTAGCAGAGGTTTTTTGGTATCATCTTGCTTTTTAAACTTTCTTTGTATTTCAATATTTGCTTTTTTGTACTTTCTTTGTATTTACAAATATGGATAAAGGAAAAAGGAAAAAAAGAATACCTAGTAAACCCAGTTAAAAAAACTGTCCTTTATTCCAAAGCCTTTGTGGTACTTTGCAGTATCCTTCTTATTAACCTTGCAAGCTTTTCTTTTTTGGAACAGAGATTTTATTCATCATACATTGTAAACATCTAGATGATGCAACAGAAAAATTCTGGCCCAGAAATTTAAAATCTCAATAAGATAATTTCTAAAATCAGAGAAACAGGAGAAGACTATGTAACATAGTGGATCTTACTGTTATCCACTGAATGTTACCTCTCATTTTAGTTAAGGGTGGTGAAACACATATTTTCATAATGAGCATTAATAAATATACTTGAGAAGTCTACCTGAAAATGATTGTGAAAAATGAAGATGCAAACATTAGCAATTGCCCATATGAATATCCTCACAATTTCCTGTGGGTTTCTCTCTCTCTCTCTCTCTCTCCCCCCGCTCCTCTCCCTTATACAGTCCTTAAGAGAATTAAATTTATGAGAATTTAAAATTCTCATAAATTTAGAATTAAAATAATGAGAATTAAATTTATGCCACAGTGGCATGAAAATCCAATTTGAAAGATTCACATTGTCTTAAATAAAGTCTCTTTCAAGTTTAGTTCGATTCCCGGTGATTTCATGGACATGCGGTTTTCTTGGCAGCAGTATAAATGTGGTTTCACTTTGACTTATGCTGGGGTGTTTTTATTTATTTAGAAAACTTACATGGCTGCCTATTTTATACCTGATTATCCTAGGCAGCTCACTGGCCAGTCCAGTTAACAGCCCTGATAGTCTTTAAAGGTCTCCCATCCAAGTACTAAACAGGCTTGACCCTGCTTAACTTCCCAGCCCAGGCAATATCAGCCACACAGTTCCATCTGCTGAGACTCTGTTTTCATTCACATACACAAACTTTTCCCAGCCTAATACGGCTTTTGTAAATCACAAGGGGAAAATGTTCAAAACTTATAAAATGATCTAGTGTATGTAATAAGAAAATAGGTGTTTGGCTTCAGATCTTTTCCATGCTCTTTTAATAGCTCAGTAAATCCTGATTTTACTTCTGTCCAAAGAATGCTTTGTAAGTAGAATATAAACATGACCAAAAAGCCTTGACATTTTCATGGGCTTTCTTTCATCATGTCTTATTGCCTGTGTACAATCTGGATTTTAGGGGGAAAAAAATTCTTTGCAACTCAAGGTCTTTAGCATGTAATGTGAAATGAGAACCAAATAAGAGAAACCAAAAAGTCCAAATATATCATCCCAATTTAATTGCATTGCATAAAGATTCTCTCTATCTTTTTTCATTACCAAGGGCTGGATCTGTGGCAGAACTTGGCCACAGAATCTATTTTCAAAACAAGGTTTCCTTCCAAGAAATACACAAAAAATATAAGGCTGTTTGGAAAGTTCTCTTCCTGGTTTAATTTAACTATTAACTGTCATTAGGAATCTGAGCTGATTCGCAGAGGGACTGAAGAAGCTGTAATCTCTAAGTCGCTTATTGCCGCAACCCATTTTATGATCCACAGAAGCCTTCAACAGCACTGGTTTTTAGCTTTCCATCATGGTAAAACTGCAGTAGAATGAAAATAAACTCCAGAAAATACCAGCCATGTCCATGAGCATGACATGATGTGACCCAACCACTTTGCAGCTCCATGCCAACTCCTAGCCATTGGCCTTCCATGAAATCTCCCATGGATCCAATGAGATCCTCTGGCATTTTACTCCAGACACCCAGATTCTGCCCAAACTACTGTTAAGTGGGCAGATTGCACAGCAGATAATAAAGGATCCAAACAGCAAGCTTTAAAAGACATTTCCTTGGTAAAGGCAACTTTGTCTGGCATAACAGGGCTCATAATAAACATGCATACCAGCATAGAATAAGCAGGTTTAAAAAAAAATGGGGGGGGGAGTTGTACCCTCTGTATTTCTGATATAATGCTGCCATCTAATGGTCTTACTAGTGTATAGGATTTTCCACCATAACCATTGCATACTCCAGCAGTTACCACCTCTCACCAGACTCATGCTAAGTTATTAATGTTTATTTCTTCTTGCACTGTCCCCCAACTTCACAGGTGGGGAAAGAGAATGCTAGGATGGAAATGTCTTTTTTGAAACTCTGCCCACTTTTAGCTCTGGTCCTGCCTATGTTAGGCTCTGATATGTTTAACACTGGAAAATGGACTCAAATAGGTTTCAGCTGACTTTACAATGAAAAGGTATCCCAAACCTGCATATAGTAGGTTGTCATAGTTCGATTTTTTATTGTTTAATTAAAACATTATTTACATGAAGGAGAGTTTGTCTTAGATGCAAAACCAAAACATGACTGGATTAAACAAGAAATGAAGACTTTCAATTTCATTCTTATAATTGCAGTCAAGAAGAGAAAAGGAAGCAAGTGCGCCTGAAACCTATCCAGGTTTTTCATCACAGTGCTAGGGATCTTTGAGCATTTTGTTGGATCTGCGCTTTTAAGTATTGCACTCTGATTCCCAATCCAGGGAGTAATAGATCAGAATGAAGTTCTTTGGTTTTCTATTTCTAAAAATGTGGCTTTCAGAATGTAAACAAAAAATTAAATGTATATTTTACAGTGAGCTATATTTTTAAAATATAATAACATATAATTGAATTTTCGTGCTGTTTTAGCAGACAGATGCCCAAAAAAGGACACAATGAATTTATATAAAACTAAAATTGATTAGTATGTGGTCGCTAGGAGTAGAAAATGAATTGATGGCACATAATCAATCAAAATTTATTAGAAATAGATTTACCTTTCTATCTTCTCAAAGCATTCAACTATGACTTGTCATTGCATATGAACTTGTTTATGTCTTCACACCTCTCCATATCAGATAAGAGCTTTGCTTATTTAAGAAATGAATTATTTCCCCAAATTCAGCCTAAGCTTACACCAATCAATTAATATTTCTGAATATTTACACAAATCTGAATTTAGTTCTACTCTCAGAAATAGATCTGAAGAGAAATAAACTTCCCAAGAAGCAGCAGTTCTTTTGGACATAACTTTAATTTCCATGTTGACCTCAGTAACAAGTCTTTTTGCATTTCTTTCTACGCAGATGGATTTTTGGTACCCAGATTCGGCACTGCATATAGTCAGACAGATGGAAGTGGATTTCCATGTCAGTGCTGAACAAAGTAATACTGTTGAGAGTCTCTTGAAGCAGAATGGCATACATTACAAGTAGGTTAAACCTAGCTATTTCTCAGGTCTGTGACTACACACCTTTGAAATTGTGTAGAGATTGCACATGTGACATGTGTATAAAAGATACATTTATGTATCAGTGTTTCAATTAATTAATTCTCCCTTATTACAAGATGGTGCTCTTGGCTGGGAATTCTAAAATTTCTTCTTCACTGTAGCACCCTGGCTGAAAAAAGCAACTCTCCTGGATTGTGCAAAAAATTCATTCCCAGATAAAGTGGAGCAGGGCTGCAGGGCTAACATGCAAATTTCCCTGTGAAGTCAACATGACGTTTATCTGAAAAGAAGACTGGCTTTTTAAAAAATAATAATTTATCTTTAAGATAAATTGGCCTGCTCTAACAAATATGAATGACTAAAATAACACTGAAAGCAATGGAATACCTTTGTCACATCTAGGCCTGTTGCCAATTTGTGGATTAGTTAATTTATGTTGGATGGGCCCTATGATTCTGAAATTCAAGGTTGTACAAAATCTGTAAACCGTATAAATTATAGTGCATGTTAAATGAATATATATTGAATCAATGTAAAATAAATAAAAGTTTATAGGCAACATTTTTGCTAGAGGGAGTGGATTTGTCTGAATGCATGGGATTTCTTGCTGTTTTTCATTGTTTTCTTTATTGTTTTTACTTGATTTAAGCCGCCCAAAGTCATTTTGGAATCAAGTGGCCTCTAAATCTCAGAAATAAAATTAGCCCAGAGAGAGTATAATTTTCTTGTTATTTTTATCATGTAGAATATTATTTCAAAATCTACAAGAAGACATTGAAAATCAACTTGATGGTGACAAGAATCTTTCCCACGGATACAGCTACGTAAAATATAATGAATGGGATGAGGTACAGGACCTATGTGATACTCTAAAAAGGAAGTATTCTTCAGCAGAAAGAATACCCATTTATTGGAGAGACTCTGGTCCATTTTTACTTGTTTGTAACTGTATTTGACTTTGCCACTTGGGTGTACATGCATCCTGTGAAGCATAAAAGGTGCAGCTGGTGGCTAAAACCAGGCCTAGTTTAGACTATCACCTAATTGGAAAGGATTCCATCAAATATACATACAAACATTTTTCACACTGGATGGGACATGCATGTTTTTAGTACTTGACACATTTCAGAGGTGTAACCATGCAAGGACTAAGCTACAGCCACAACTACATGAACTGAGGAATTAGTCCTGTAAGATTATCATCCCATTGTCCAGTGTTCTTCAAAAGGGGTGCCAATGTTTTTACAGTTTCTATTCTACTGCATTTAGCAGAAGCTTCATCTAAAGCCGTGTTTTTCAAACTTGGCAACTTGTGTGTTGCCAAGTTTTGGCAACCAACTTGTGTGTTGCCAAGTTGTGTGGACTTCAGCTCCCAGAATTCCCCAGCCAGCATGGGAATACATGGGAATTCTGGGAGTTTACAGCATATTTCTATGCTGTAAAAAGTATTACTTACAAATTTCTATAGATAAACCTGCTGTTAAAGATCAGACCAGGCATATTTTCTGATCTTAGCAACTTAAATGGATGACTGGAAGCCAGTGAAGATGGCATCCTTCAGCAGATGCTAGATTAGTCTTCCTTATTTCAATGCCCCTCAGCTGCATTAAGGCCACAGTTCCCCAAATTTTAGCCAGTATATTGGGAATTTGAAGAGTTGTAGTACCACAAACCTGGAAGACATTAGTATGGGGAAGGCTGTGGTAACAGGTATGGGATCAGTTGTTATTTAATGGCCTGGTACTACATACCTTATCTACAGCCAGAAAATCATCTTACTGAACTTGTAGGAACACAGCTGCATTAATCTACGGTACCAAAAAAAAACAACCCCCAAAAACAGGAGTCTGGCAGCACATTGTCCAATTAAAATAATGTATTTAATGGCATAAAAATTCATGAGCTGTAGGTCCCTTCATCAGATACTTTTCAAGCAACTCTTGTTATTCTTTTATCCAGATTTCTGACTGGACTGCCAGAATTGCAAAAAGGAACTCAACACTGGTTTCCCGTTTCCAGATTGGAAACACTTTTGAGAATCGACCCATATTCCTTCTTCAGGTATGAAAACCTTTTCAGGAAAATAAGCAAAGAACAGCTGAAACTGTGGTGAAAAACTCACCCTACCATCTGGAGAGGATTCAGACAAATGTTTTATTAGTTCCAAAGATGGCAGGTTATAGTGAGTCACTGGTTTCTTGGATTCAGATGAGCCAACAGCAAGAGCCTCAAAGTTACACTGAACTTATATAGGATGTTGATCAAACATAGTTCAGCCTTGCACGTACACTAGCAGAAGATCCCAAATGCCAAAAGAATTTCTTTACAGCTAATAAGGAGACAAGATAACCAGAAAGGAAGAAGTGGGTATCCTTCATGGCTTGAAAACATTACAGACCCATTCTTTAAAGGCTACATAGAAGCTTTGATATGACTTACGCCAAAGCTTTAATTGTTACTAGAAGAGAGATAAGGAAATGCCTTGAATCTACTGCCTTCTCTATAGATTAATTCTATAATAAATTAATCACTAACAGGCACAAATTAGCACAGTAAAGAAAATTCCATTCTTGAAGTGCTACAAGAGAGATATAGCAAAATACATATATGTAATAATGTATTTGTATTAGTAGGCATAATTGATTCAATCTGAGTTCTTCTTCCAGCTCTCCACAAGATGAAGTTACACATCATGCGAAGCAACCATGCAATTTGTTCAGTTTTAGTTTAGTATATTGCATTAGTCCAGCCGCTGTGGTTAGCAAATCATGGCTGGCTTATGGCCAAGAACACAAGGGTATAACTTTTTTCTGAACTGAGGACCAAACAAAAACTCCATACTTCATTACCTGTATATTTCACATATTTATATTTTACATAGCAGATGGGATCAGGATGAATAGTGAGTGTTGTCAAGACAAAAATTTAATTTGTATTCATTTCATTTACAACACATATCACCTAAATTAATTAAATGTAAGCAATACAATTTTTCCATGCATATAAGAACAGTCCTTTTTTGTCACAATGAACATCACAACTCAGCAACTTTTGGAGGAGCTCTTAAGTCTCACAAACAAGACTTTCAGGGCCACTTCAAGTTATGCATCTTTGGCTTATTATGTTGTTTTGCACAATAGAATAAGCATGATGTGACAACGCAATGATACATAGTTAAATATGAAGATTGCAGAATGGAGTGGATGCATCTGAAGGGAAAGTTTTGTATTGAAGTGTACTTTCTTAAAACTTTTTTTTTTAACTTTGGAAAATGTTTTCAAAGCAGATTGGAAAGAAGAGTGGAGAGGGAAAGGCCATCTTCATGGATTGTGGTATTCACGCACGAGAGTGGATTTCTCCTGCCTTTTGTCAGTGGTTTGTGAAAGAGGTTAATTAACAAATATTCCTTTTTTCTTAAATTTGTTACAGTAGCCTTCCCCTAACTGATGCTCTGCAAATGTGTTGAACTAAATTCCTAATATCCCTAGCCAGCAAATACTCCTTCGTGACTATCCTTGCGTGCTACAGATGAGTTGGTAACTCCAAAAATCAAAGTCCTTGTATCCCACTAAACAAACAGGAATGTGAATCACATTTCTGTATTCTCAGAGAAGCCCATGGTGATTAATATGAAAAATAGATTCTATGAAGTATATAGTATGATGAAGAATGCTGCAATTTTAGGTACACTTCAGTTGTGAGTCCAACTGAGCCTAACTTTTGAGTATATAGGATCACAGAGTAATCTACTTTTTTTAAAAAAAGTATTCTTTTTCTAAATTAATCATCAGGCCATCAGAACCTATGGAAAGGACAGCAACATGACATACATATTGGATAATATGAATTTCTACATCGTTCCTGTAGTCAATATAGATGGCTATATCTGGAGCTGGACTCAGGTACTGACCATACTTTTTAACAGCAGAATCTACATCTAGCACTTAAGCTACATTCCTATGATCCTTGGGGCAGCATTCCATGGTGTATGCAATACCATCAATTAAAGATCAACTTTATTTGTGGGAGGAAAAAAAAAGCATACATCAGAAATCCCCTCTCTCTTGCCTGCTGTTTCAAAGGCTGACAATCCATAATTTCACAAAGCATCAGGGGAGGGGGGGACAGGTTTGAAAATCTGTTAGATCTTAAGTCCTGCTGGCCTTCTGACACATTTTGAATGGCCTAGATCAGTAGATCTCCAGTTTTGTGTTGTATATCAGGCATGGGCACCTGTGACCCTAGAGCTTCATAGGACCCTTGTCCTATGTTATAACTTTGGAGACCACTTTGACTATGAATGCAGAATTTTCTGCCATTCTGAAGTGAGGAGTACATCAAAGTGAAACATCCTTTGATGATATTTCAATTCTGAATAGAATAGAAATTTTGCATACTAAAAAAACATGTTCAGTGTATTTATTTGATCAAAAGTAGAACAGACCACTGAAATGTTTTGAAAAAAAGTTAGTTATAACTAATCCATCCCATTCATTTCTGTAAACTACTCTGTGTCTATATCCAATCCAACTGGAGGCGTCACCTTACATTCTCTGATAAGAATAGAAGAAGCTGTTTAAAGCAAAAAAAAAAAAAATGAGTAGAAGGCAGAAATGGTTGCAAATATCTCTACTGCAAGGCACAGATAAACATAACCTAAAATATATATAACAAATTACAATAGATCAAAAGTTATCAGACATATCAATAATATTATCAATATACATTAATAATAATACCTACATAAAACTATAACATAACTCCAGGCC